CCCTCTCTTCTCCAAGCTAAACAAGCCCAGTTCCCTCAACCTTTCCTCATAGGAGAGGTACTCCAGCCCTCTGACCATCTTAGTGCCCTCCTCTGGACCAACTCCAAGAGCTCCACGTCCTTCCTGTGCTGGGGTCCCCAGGCCTGGATGCAGCTCTGCAGATGGGGCCTCACAAGAGCCGAGTAGAGGGGGACAATCACCTCCCTCTCCCTGCTGGCCACCCTTTTAATGCAGCCCAGAACACAGTTGGCCTTTTGGGCTGCAAGCGCACACTGCTGGCTCATGTCCAGCTTCTTGTCCACCAGGACCCCCAAGTCCTTCTCCACAGGGCTGCTCTCAAGGAGATCTTCTCACAGTCTGTATAAATACCTGGGATTGCCCCGACCCAAGAGCAGCACCCTGTACTTGGTCTTATTGAACCTCATTAGGTTCTCATGGGCCCACTTCTCCAGCCTGTCCAGCTCCCTCTGGATGGCTTCCCTTCCTTCCAGTGTATCGACTGCACCGCTCAGCTTGGTGTCATCTGCAAACTTGCTGAGGGTGCACTCGATGCCATCATCTGTGTCATTGATGAAGATGTTGAAGAGCACCAGTCCCAAGACTGACCCCCGAGGGACACTGCTTGTGACCAGCCTCCACCCTGACACAGAACCATTGATCACAACCATTTGGCTGCGACCAAGCCAATTCCTAATCCATCCAACAGTCCATCCTTCAGATCCACACTTCTCCAATTTAGAGAGCAGGATGTGGTGAGGGACCATGTCAAAGGCCTTGCAGAAGTCCAAGCAGATGACATCCATCGCCCTTTCCCCATCCACTGAAGCCATCACTCCATGATAGAAGGCCACCATAGATCTGCCCTTGGTGCAGCCATGCTGGCTTTATCTCGTATGTGCCTCAACATAGCTTCTAGGAGGATCTGCTCCATGATCTTCCCAGGCACAGAGGTGAGGCTCACTGGCCTGTAGTTCCCCAGGTCTTCCTTTCTCCCTTTCTTAAAAATGGGAATAACATTTCCCTTTTTCCAGTCACCCAGAACTTCACCAGACAGCCACGATTTTTCAAATATGATGGAGAGCAGCTCAGCGACCACATCAGCCGCTGTGACAGCATGCACTAGGTGACAACATGCACAGTGCTAAGCCTTGGAAATATCCAAATAATTTTTGTCAGGACGGTATCTTTGATAAAAGCAGATTTTATTCCTGATGACAATGGCGAGCGTCCCACAAGCAGGAGCACCCCTAAGGACACAGTGAGAGCTTTTTGTACCTTACTTCCCCCTTTGCCTGTCTCCCTCTCTTGTTTGCCCATTGGCTGGGTATTCCAGGTCCACAATCTTATCAAAGTTTACATTTGTTAATTAGTGTCTTTTCAGCGTTTCCTTGGGCATGCCATGACATGCAGTATCCCGTGCAGGATATTCTTGCAACGTGTATGATAGAATACACACATATATACCGAGCATGAATTCCTGGGGAAGGTTCATCTAGAGGATAAGTGATGCAAACTATCAGAGACCCCATCCTGAGTAAAGTAGAAAGACTCCCAAAAAGAACTGTGACAGCGGAGACCATGAAATAACAAAATATTATCCAATTCTAATACAGAAACAACATTTGATTGTCACACTAAGCAATGCCACTGTCAAATAGCAACAACACCACCGGGACAACACCCCGCTCTGTCCCCAACAGCTCCATCAACAGCTCCATCCCCAGCAGCTCCGTCCTCAGTTCCATCCCCAACAGTTCCAACCCCAACAGTTCCATCCCCCAACAGCTTCATCCCCCAACAGCTTCATCCTCAGTTCCATCCCCAACATTCCATCCCCAACAGTTCCATGTCCAACAGCTCCATGTCCAACAGCTCCGTCCTCAGTTCCGTGCCCAACAGTTCCAACCCCAGCAGCCCCATCCCCAGCTCATCTCCGTTCCCCCCCCTCCCCATCCCGGCATGCTCTGCGCGCGGCCGCTCTACCCGCTCCGCCACCGCCTCTATGGGCGGGGCGGGCCGCGCTGTGGCGGCGGAGCAGGCCTGGGGCGGGGGAAGGTGAGCTGCGGCCCGCGGGGCGCTGCCCTGCTTCATCCTCCTCCGTCCCGCGTTGGGGAGAGAAGTGTCTGAAGGGGGAGGGAGGGTTGTGAGGGGGTATTGCGTCCT